AAATTGTGTATGAACACAATAGTACTTATACCCAAAGTTATTGTTGTTTGTGTATGAACACAATAGTACTTATACCCAAAGTTATTGTTGTTTGTCTATGAACACAATAGTATTTATACCCAAAGTTATTGTTGTTTGTGTATGAACGCAATAGTATTTATTCCCAAAGTTATTGTTGTTTGTCTATGAACACAATAGTATTTATACCCAAAGTTATTGTTATTAACGTTTTTTATCGTTGTTTAGAACCTATGGGTTCCAGAGTTCTGAAGTTTACCTGCAACTGTGGGAATTCTGACCCAGTAAAGTTCAATCAATATCGTTGTCCTGAAACAAGAGAGTTGATCGGAATGAGATGTAGGTCATGTGACACTGAGTGGCTGAAGACCGGTGTTAGATACAGGTCAAGTGACCCAGAGTGTCTTGAGACTGTTGACGGTACAAAAAGTATCAACACGCTCTTCATTATTATAGATAACGATATATTTTACCAAAATGTGAGAGTGGAAATAAAAAGAAACTCAACATTCCAGGTGAGTCCTTCTCGTACGCAGATCACCAGTTCCACATTACTAGGAGACTATTTGAAACCAGGAGATCACATCTCTTGGCACAGGCCTTACATCATTTGGCACCATGCTATTGTAGCTAAAGTCGACGAACAGGTCTTGGAAGTAATACATTGGACAAAGATGGATGGCGTGGTGCAGGTATTAAAGGAGAAACTCAGTTTAAAGCTATCTTTCAAGGAAGGTCCTTTGTATCGTATTGATTATTCTGAGGAGGTTGTGAAGAAAAATCTTCCACGACTTGTTCTAGCCAGGGCTCACTCGAGGCTCAATGAAGTTGGTTACAATTTCTTGTTCAATAACTGTGAATCCTTTTCAATCTACTGTAAGACTGGAGTGTCGCTGTGCATGCAGAAAAATTGGTTGTTTAACAAGATTTCAGAAATAGTGAAAGTAGGTCTGTCCAACATCATAAAAAGTATGATAAAATATGTCGTGGTTTCAGTGAAACCAATGTTTAGGGCTGCCGTTGAAGTTGGAGTGAGCGAGTTTATAGAAGAAGCCATGAAAGCCGGGAACTGGGTTGGAGCAACAATAGTGCTTCTGGTCGAAACGTTCTTCTGTTTGAAAGATATCTGGAAAATTAATAAAGAGAGAGAAGCTGGGAACCTGAGTAGAAGGGACTACATCAAAACTCTCTCAGAGCGGATCTTGGAATACATATTTAGTACAGCGTTTGCAGTCTTGGCTGGATTTGTTGCAGACTGGCTCGGTGGGTTTATATTGGGCGCCATCATTCAAACTGGAGTTTCTGCTAGCATCGCAGCACTTTCAGGAATCGGCTTGGCTCTTGTTCTTGGAATTGTGATTGGAGGTGTTTTAGGAGTAGCAGGCAAGGCTATAGGGTTTGCTGTTGGTGAAAATGTGGGAAGACAAATAAGTGAGAGGTGTTTTCGAGATGACCGGTTAGTCGAACTAACAAGTTTGGAGCCTGCAGATCACCTGGTGTTCCCCGGAGGACTTCTTCACCCTCGACATCATGCTATCTTTGTTGAGCACGACGGACTCGGTAAAGTCAAAATTATCCATAATACTAGCAAGCAAGGCGTAGTTAAAGAGTGGGTGGACTTTAAACCCCCTGTGTATCGAGTTCAGTATCGTACTATCGAATGTCACCCACCACACAAAGTACTAGACAGAGCACGTTCTAAGCTTGCCACCAACGAGTACAATATCCTATGGAATAACTGCAAGCATTTTGCAAAATGGTGTAAACTGTTGGAGTAAAAAAGCGAATATAACGATTTATTCTTGAAACCAGACAGATTAGAGATGGAAATTTCACTGCTGACAAAAATCCAACAAAATGTTTTAATGAAACGCTTAAGATATGACATAATTAATTAAAGAAAGAAATATTTTGTCACAATTATAGACAACAATATTAGTTTCTCTAAGAAACTACAGAAGAAAAATATAATTGTAAATTTCAAGATGTTATAACGTTTATCTTTCCAGAAACTTTGATTTGAAATATAGTCTTTTTCCAATTTTTAAAATACATTATTTTTTAATTTTGTTCTTTGATTTGCTCACAGTATCGTAAATAACATAAGATGTTCGTATTAGATAAGTGGTGGGCATTTTAGATCTTAATATGCATGTATTATTTTGTATATTGTTGTATTATGTGTATTTTTTGTACAGTTGTTACATGTTCTGTCATTGGGTGGGTTCTCGTGGATCATCTACGTAACAATACTGAATGAATTTATTTCTTCAATAACATTAACTACAGGCTACTTTCACTGATAGGCCTACCTTCACAAAAAAACTTTTCAACAAATATTCCGAAACTGAGTCACGCCTAACTTACTTATAAAGTTACTTACAGAATTTCATCTCTAATCGATTGATAACAAACACGGTGAGTAAGCTACCTTACTGACTAAAAGTATCGCAGCCAAACGGAACATAATTTACTAACTGTCACTGAGCTGAATAACTCGGTAATTTACGCAGTCCGGTATTTTTATGCAATCTATTTTTCTCTGTACTTCGGTAAGCACCTCATCATGATTACGTGATGATAAGCTCCCTTCTAAATTAATATATATATAGGTTACAACCTCATGCTACCTAGAATAACACGATATTTAGTAATATTGTACTATATCAATGTTATCAGTTCAATGGAATCAGATACATTTTTCTTTATATATTTGTATATATTTTAATAAGATGTACCTAGGGATACGTTTTGAGAAGAATGTCTAAAATATGTTTTCCAGATTTGGAGTTACTTGTGAAAATAACATAGCCAGTAAAGTAATACAGAGTTCCAGTGAAAATTATATTTTGTTAAGATGAATTAAGATATTTGAAATGATTAGGTTTAGTTATTTGCATAAATGCATTGTTTATTTGTTTGTTTTGAAGCAAATCCACACTGTGCTATCTACTGTGTTGACTGCTTTGTAAGTCCGTAGAATTACCGCTGTTCTGCAAGGGGACACTTGAGTAAATTAAATTTACCAATAAGAGATGTATGGTGTGATTTTTGTATTCGAGTTTAACACTAATAAACTGACCAATAACAAATCTTTTTGTACGACATGATTGTTGTATTACTGTTTAACACATATAACAATTAGAAGTCAGTTGTATGAGATGTATTCAGTAACAAATAAAAAGAAATGTAGAACTTTATACATCAACCACGCCAGATATCAATTTCTTACAAAATATTATTAATAATCACCAACAAGTATTCATTCTAGGAGACCTTAACTCTAAACACCCGAACTTTTTTTGTAGAACAACAAACAAAAACGGTACAATTCTGAATGATTTCGTGAACATAAATAACCTAATATGCATTAATGATGATAACTCCACTCACACACACTATGACGGAACACAAGACATTCTGAACATGGCTATAGTTACACGCAATATCTGCTCACATTAATGATGATAACTCCACTCACACACACTATGGCGGAACACAAGACATTCTGGACATGGCTATAGTTACACGCAATATCTCTGCTCACATTAATGATGATAACTCCACTCACACACACTATGGCGGAACACAAGACATTCTGGACATGGCTATAGTTACACGCAATATCTCTGCTCACATTAATTATGATAACTCCACTCACACACACAATGACGGAACACAAAACATTCTGGACATGGCTATAGTTACACGCAATATCTCTGCTCACATTAATGATGATAACTCCACTCACATAAGACATTCTGAACATGGCTATAGTTACACGCAGTATCTCTGCTCACATTACTAATTTTAAAGTCAACGAATATCTAGGCGGAGATCATCTATCCATTTAATTTAACATTTTAAACAAGAACCAAACGATTATTCCCCAATAACGTTTGACTTCACAAACACCGATTGGATCAAATTTAAAGCACGCCTATCCCTAAAATTTTTACAGATCTAACACCAAACAAGGAAACATTAAATAAGTATGCTGACCAATTTCTGCATTTCAATCGACCAATCCAAAGATAAACCAAACACCTTTTGAAAAAAATTCAAATCAATATGCCAGACTGCTAAAACTTATAACCCCCATAACATCAAATACAATAATAAATATGCCATCTCTGACAGAGACAAAAGCAACTTCTTCGCGGAATTCTTGAAATCGTCATTCACAATACTCAACCTGTCATATTTTAATAATGAACACTTTAATGAAATAACCAACTTCATTTCTAGGAACAAAGATACCTTTCAACTTAGGTTTGCTCAAACTTCGATACCCGAACCAACTTAACTCAGGATATTATCCTTTTTGCTGGAAAACTGCAATAATCCGAGTCACACCAAAATCATCATAAGTTCTTTACGACCCTTCAAACTACAGACCCATCAGTCTCTTGAATATCATCGGAAAACTATTGGAAAAAAAAAATATTGCTAACAGACTACTTTATTATTTAGAATCAGAAAACATTCTGTATAACATACAAAACGCATCAAGACGAAACAGTCCAACAGCTGACCACTTAGTTAAGTTAACTGAGTCAGTTTTAGAAGCATTTAACAGGAACCAATGTAGCAGTAGGAGCATTTTTAGATGTCAAACGGGCCTTTGATTCTGTCTGGCACAATGCACTACTCTATAAACTATCAAAACTAAACTTGCCGACAAAAAGAATCCGCTGGACAGCCAGCTTTTTATCCGACAGTAAAAATAAACAACGAGCTATCGAATTCCTTCAAATTAGAAGCGAGAGTACCCCAAGGCTCGGTTATTAGACTTGGGACCAGGCAAAGGCGGAGGTTGGCATGTTTTGGTGTGAGGGTGATTCGAACCCGCGACCCTCAGATTACGAGTCGAGCGCCCTAACCACCTGGCCATGCAACCATTAGTATACCTAAACTCAGTTAACTCGATTCCACTCATCAAAGAAAAATACTAAAATTAGCATCAAACTTTTCCAAGAAATCCGTTAACCGAGGAATTTCCAAAATTATCAGTTACCCCAGATTTCTCCTATGAATTTAACAAAAAACCATGTAATATGCTGATAGTGATAAAGTGTTAAAACCTATATATGTTTTAGTTCCCCAGCTCAGACACTATCCGGGTAGATTATTGGGCGTCCGGGTAAAAAAAGTGGGTTTTTCTCAGGGTACTCCTGTTTTCCTCCCACATCAAAATTCTGGGTATTAGGATTTTCAGATCCACACCCCAAAACTTGTTTTTTAAAGTGAAATGGTTGTAACCTACTAAACAAACCAAGTCAAGTCAAATTATAGCATCATTACTGTGATTCAAGTCCTCCTAACCAGATTTCAATTCTTCATGATTTTTTGTTTTATTTTCACGATCCCCATAGTGCATGAGTGGAGTGAACAGATAAATGTTTCTGAACACCCCCGATTGCTTTTGACCCTTAGTCGAAATTGATTATTTAAAGTTAATTTGGCTTAAGGTTAAAGTTTTAGATCTAAATAATCGCCATTGTAAACAAAACAAACCGTGGTCTGGGGGTCAGTATGACAGACTGTAGTTATAAGGTTATTTGGACCGGACGTGGTCTAGTTGTAACCATGATAGACTGTAGATATAAAGTTACTTTGAATGGACGTGGTCTAATGGTAACCATGATAGACTGTAGATATGAGGTTAGTAATACTGGACGTGGTCTAGTGGTCAGTATGACAGACTGTAGATATAAGGTTACTTGGACCGGAAGTGGTTTAATGGTAACCATAATAGACTGTAGATATAAGGTTAGTTCGATTGGACGTGGTTTACTGGTAACAATGATACACTGTAGACATCAAGTTACTTCGACAGAATGTGGTCTAATGGTGACCATGATAGAGTGTAGATATAAGTTTACTTGGACCAGACATGGTTTAATTGTAACAATGATAGACAGTATATATAAGGTTACTTGTTCCGGACATGGTCTAGTGGTCAGTATGATAGACTATAGGTATAAGGTTACTTGGACCGTACGTGTTTTAATGGTAACTATGATAGACTGTAGATATAAGGTTACTTGGACTGGACGTGGTCTAGTTGTAGCCATGACAGATTGTAGATATAAGGTTACTTGGACCCGACGTGGTTTAGTGGTCAGTATGAGAGACTGTAGATTTAAGGTTACTTGGACCGGACGTGGTCTAATAGTAAACATGATATACTGTTGATATAAGGTTACTTGGACCGGACATTCTCTAGTTGTCAGTATGACATACTATTGACATAATGTTACTTGGACTGGACGTGGTCTTAGGATCAGTATGACACGCTGTAGATATAAACTTTGAACGGACGTGGTTTAGTCGTAACCATAATGGACCATACATATAAGGTTACTTCGACCGGTCGTCATTTAATAGTAACCAAGACAGACTGTATTTATAAGGTTACTTAGACCAGAAGTGGTCTAGTTGTAACCATGTTAAACTGTAGATATAAGGATACTTGGACCGAATGTGGCCTAGTGTAATTCTGATACACTGTAGATATAAGGTTACTTCGAACGACATGACTTAATGGTAACAATGATAGGCTGTAGATATAAATTTAGTTGGAGTGGACGTGCTTTACTGGTAACAGTGATAGACAGTAGATATAAGGCTCCTTCGACCGGACGTGGTCTAATGTTAACTATGTCAGACTGTAGATACAGGGTTACTTTTACCGCACGTGGTCTATTGTAACCATGATAGACTGTAGATATAAGGTTACTTGGACTGGACGTGGTCTAGAGGTCAGTATGATAAACTCTAGATATAAGGATACTTGGATCTGTCGTGGTGTAATGGTAACCATGATACTACTACTACTACAAAGTCTGTTATTGAAGTACCACAGTATCAGAGTCTAACTACAACCAACCTGTGATACTGAATTACTACGGTGTGAAATATTAACTACTACCAACATCTTATGCTGAAGTACCATAGTTTGAGAGTCTAACTACTATCAACATCTGATGCTGAAGTACCACGGTCTGATAGTCTAACTATTACCAACATCTGATGGTGAAGTACCACGGTCTGAGAGTCTAACTACTACCAACATCTGATGCTGAAGTACCACGGTATGAGAGTCTAACTACTACCGGCATCTGATGCTGAAGTACCACGGTCTGATAGTCTAACTATTACCAACATCTGATGGTGAAGTACCACTGTCTGATAGTCTAACTACTACCAACATCTGATGCTGAAGTACCACGGTATGAGAGTCTAACTACTACCGGCATCTGATGCTGAAGTACCACGGTCTGATAGTCTAACTATTACCAACATCTGATGGTGAAGTACCACGGTCTGAGAGTCTAACTACTACCAACATCTGATGCTGAAGTACCACGGTATGAGAGTCTAACTAATACCAACATCTGATGCTGAAGTACCACGATCTGTGAGTCTAACTACTACCGGCATCTGATGCTGAAGTACCACGATCTAAGAGTCTAACTACTACCGGCATCTGATGCTGAAGTACCACGGTCTGAGAGTCTAACTGCTACCAACATCTGATGGTGAAGTACCACGATCTGAGAATCTAACTATTATCAACATCTGATGCTGAAATACCACGGTCTGAGAGTCTAACTATTACCAACATCTGATGCTGAAATACCACGGTATGAGAGTCTAACTACAAACAACCTGTGATGTTGAAGTACCACGGGATGAGAGTCTGACTACTACCAATATCTGATGCTGAAGTACCACAGTATGAGAGTCTAACTACAACCAACCTGTGATGTTGAAGTACCACGGTATGAGAGTCTAACTACTACCAATGTCTGATGCTGAAATACTACGATCTGAGAGTCTACTTGTGGATACAACATGAAAGGATAATAACGTGAAGTTTCAGGTGCCACATCGAAGCCTCTAAAAACTGACAAACTATCTGCTCCAGGGAAAACATGAAAATTATCCAGTATACATGCAAGGCAGGGTGTAAAAATTTACAGTTGCAAGAAAGTAGGTTTTTAATGTAGTACAGCACCCAATACCTACAAAGGTGTCAGCCGTAAAACTTCTGTGCACCCAGAGTTGGATGATGACTAAAATATTA